CAGGCCACCACAGAGCACCCCCAACGTGAGTGATGTCGAGCCGGCCATGCCCCCTCGAGGTCAAACACAACCCTGATGCGGCCCTCAGTGCAATCGAGTTTGACATCCCTGTTATAGAGCTATTGTGTTATTCCAAGTCTTCTGTTCCAAGCAAAAGGAAAAATGTAGAGAACACAATCTGGATATGTAGACAGGTTATGCTCTTTCCTACGCCCTTCCCCTCTTCCAAGTATAATCGACAGGTAGGTAGAAGAGATTTGGAGGAAAGTACTTGTATACACTCTTTTCTGGCTTCCCTAGAAGCTTTGCAGAGACCCTCCTTTTCCTTCTTCAGTATTCTGTTGTTCTTCAACAGTAGAGAGGTAAGAAGAATTTACTTAAACAGTGGTAGAACTGGTAATTATAGGTTGTTGGGGGGGGGGGGTTCTGTAGGGTTAATAAGGGCTTCTGCCCAGCACTGTTTCATTTGTAAAGTTAAATATATTTTCTTCCAAGTCAGCTGCTTACCTTCTAGTGCTTATTTCTTCACTTCTGGAAAAAAAAAATCAGGGCAACTGTAATACGAGATTCATGCTGAGTAGGAGTCAGAGATATGCCTTAGAACAACAGGCCATATTAAAGGACTGAAAGTCAGCTCTTTGTAAACACTGGGCTGTGGTTTCTCTTGAAAGGATCCATGAGAAGTTGCTGCTATGTTTTTGTTTTAATAAAATTAGTCAACTTCATCTGTTATTCTAATTTTTAAAATTAATATTTGAAACATGTTGTGGGTTGGTAGTTTCTGAGCTACATTTTCCTATAAACTTATTTTATTTCAGATGGGGGAGGGAGAGTGGAGGATTAGCTAGGATTTGAATGCATCTTTATTAAAAAGGGATTGGAAGAATTATACGGAACGTTTGTCATTTCCTTTCGAATGGAGACCCAAATACAACACGTTATTGAAAAGTACGTTGAAGGCCGAACTAAAGGAGATCAGAAAGTGTTTTTCAGTGATATATGAGCTGTGAGTCCCAGGCTGATTGTAGGATTGTAGTGAAAACTGCACAATATTAAACATGGGGAGATTTTGCTACAGTAAACAGTGAATGGTTTTCTAGCTGAAAAATAGGCATACTGAAGGACAGTTGTGTGTGGCAAAATGGACAGTCATCTACAAATACTTTCTTCTGTTAACTGAAGTCTTCTTGTGCTTTTCATTTATTTAATAGTACAAATGGAGGGAATTTTTGGATCCTGCACTTTAGTGTTTGCATGAACTTAGTGAGATGGGGAATGCCTAAATTGGATGGATGGATGGATATGTGTTTCTACCACTTAAAACAGGGGTGTCAAACTCAATTTCATTGAGGGCCGCATCAGGTTGTGTTTGACCTCAGGAGGGCCAGGAGGGCATGGACAGGGTGGGCATGGACAGCTTGACATCACTCATGTTGGGGGTGGCTGTGGTGGCCTGAACGTTTTGCCAGTGAAAACGGGCTCGCGAGCTCCATTTTCAGCTTTGCTGTTCTCCTGCAACCCTCTGCCAGCGAAAATGGAGCTCAGGAGGGCCGTGTGCAGCCCTCCCAAGCACTCTTTTTACTGGCAGAAGCACCTCGGGCCAATCCTTTGCTATTTCCAGAACAGCCCCATGGGCCAGATCTAAGCAGGCCAGATACAGCCTTGAGTTTGACACCCCTGACTTAGAATATTCAAAATCAATCTGCTGCTTTATATCCCATCCCTGCATCTATTGCCCATTTTGTAGAAAGCTAGTGTGAATTTGTGGTGTATGTTCTAGGTGTTTTCTTTAAGAGTCATGTTCATGATGCAATTTCTCATGCAACTTAACTTTCAAAGAATAATGATGGCTGCTTCCTTATCATTTTAGTGAGCATGCGTGATATTCCAATCACAAACAATGCTGAACATCGTAAACCCCAAAATTGGTACATTGGGTTAAAAACAATTCAATAAAACTAAATTGGTAATACAACATAACCTACATACAGCACTGCAAATCTTTATTTACTTGCTTGTGTTTCTTCAAAAAAAATTTGGGAACAGAGTGTTTTAAAGGGGAGTGCTGTGATCAGGTGCTTCTTGGGTCCTGTCACATGACATTGCTTAATGGATGGGATCCAGAACATGCCAATTTCTTCTGATCTTATAGTACTGGCAGAAACAAAGGGAATAAAAATAGTCCCACAAATAACATTACAGGTAATCCTTGACTTGCCACAGCAATTAGGATCAGAATTTCTGTCACTAAGCAATGAGGTCATAAAGCTTGACTGCATCCCATAGTGACAACAATGCCTATAGTCCTGGTTGCTGTTAACCAAATCCCATGATCATTAGGTGAGGCAGCTTCCTTCCAGCTTCCCACAACCGAAGTCAGTGGGGAAGTGGGCAAGAATGGCAAGCTCCATGCCAGCTGGCAGGCAAGTGAGTCAAGGAGGTTGTGAAAGAGGTGCGTGGGAGAGAGGGCACAAAAGGGTACATTAGAGGATAGGGAGGGACATGGGCATACATGAGTGGCCAATGTGGCATGAGCACAGAGGAGCTAGGGGAGGGTATGCAGGTAGAAAAAACTTACTCCTGGAACTTGTGACTTTCCCTGCAGCTTCCTCAGAAAGTCAGTGGGGAAGCCGGTGTTATGGTCCGCCAGCAGCCTGCAGAGCTGGCAGCGGAGTTGGACAGTGAGGAGGCTGGGGAGGAACATGGGCCAGTCCTTGAGTCTGGGGAAGGCCCAGACGAGGGCTCTGCATCGGAGGTAGAGATGGGGCCAGGGCCATCTGGAAGTGATGCACGGACTCCGGAGTCCGCCGAGTCGGACAGGAGAGAGGCAGAGGAACAGGAAGAGCCTGTTCCTAGTGCATGAATGCGCAGAGCTGCCAGAAGGCAAGAGCAGCTAAAGCAAAAGGAGTAAGGCCAGGAAATGATTGGCCCCTCCCATAAGGCTTAAAAGAGAAACAAAGGCACTTGGGGCCTTTTGCAGGAAAGCAACATTGCTAACTCTGTTTCCAGTCGGCGTCTCTTGTTTGTTTCTGAACTTCGTGGGGCTTTGCCAAGTAAGGCCTTTTGCAGGGTGCCAAAGAAGATAAAGGTTGGTGATTATCCCGAAGGACTTCTTCCGAAGGACTTGTTTTGCAACTAATTGGGACTCAACTGGGAATGAACGTAATTCTCAACTGTTACAATAAAATAGGTTTATTTGGGAATAATTGTGTCTTGTAATGACTCAGTAATCCTAGGTCACAACAGCCGGCAGGGAGCGTTGCAAATGGCAACCACATGATTGTAGGGCTGCAACTAATCATAAGTGCAAACTAGTTGCCAATCACATGGCTGTGGGACTGCTGGGATGGCCAGAATTCCAAGGACCAGTCATAACTACTGTTCTTTTAGCACCGTCTTAACTTTCAACCTTCAACTGAATGGTCATAGGTTGAGGTCTATCTGTAATCAATATGACAAAACTCAGAGACTATCCACTACCAGATGGAATAAAATCACAACACTTGTCCCCAATACCTGATAAATGTGTTTTAATGAGCTTTCTAATAACTACAGAACAGCAGCAATTGAGAGGACTGCCTTCTGTGGTCCTTTAGATGGCATTCCCTGAGGGAAGGTTCCTGGAGGAAGCCTATTCTTCCAGATTTTGTTGGATAGACAGATGATATTTGGAGTTAGTAGGTAGTTCTGCAGGGACTGAATAGTAAAAATGCTATTCAGAATTTTCTTCTCTATTTCTATGTCTTAAATTCTTCCATTTTGAAGAATTCAAAATAAAGCATCTAGTAACAGGCAGTATAATATTCCACACTTTTTTTTTTAAAAAAAGCAACTTTATGCGTTTGTTATCTTAATCTTTTGATAATACATTTGGTGCTATTGTGCCATTACATTTTTAAAAAAGGTTTCAAGTGAATATTGATAACTGCCCATGTTTTAATTAATATTCATTATGATATTGATAGCTTTACAATTTTTGCTGTATTTATTATACCTAATAAATTCTGAATGTTGTGGGCATTGATAGACAGAAATGCATAAAGGTTTGTCATTAAAACATAAATGCCTTATATACTGTAAAGTTGATCACAAGTAAAATATTTGACTTAATATATATTTATATTTAATATATTCATTACTTAAATCTGTCTTCTATAATTATAAGATACATTTATTTTAGGTACCTGTCTAAATGTTTAAATATTTCAATACTTCCTCTCTGATTTAATCGTGTGTAATGAAGAAGTCCTTTTATTAAAATTAACATTGTTCTAGGAACACAAACAAGTCAGGAAATAAATACCAGTTGGCCATCTTCAAGATTGAAACCAATGTTTGACAATCTGTCAAGTATTCTAAATGTTACCCTAGATGGCCCTACTATGAATTTGTATATGTGCCAGCAGGATTCCGTTTGACTTGAAATTAAGACCTCACATAACATACTGTATTTTTCAGAATATAAGACGCATCTTTTTGCCCCCTAAAAGTGGGTGAAAATTTGGGTGCGTCTTATACACCCAATGTAGCTCCGTCCAGCCTCTGAAACGGAGGTTTCAGAGGCTGAAAAAAAAGCAAGGTGCAGAGCTCACAACCAACGAACCTGTTGCTAAAGTTCACCTCTGGGAACAGCTGATTGGGGATATTCCGGGAGGCCATCCACCCACCAATCAGCTTTTTTCTTATTTTCCTCCCCAAAAACTAATGTGCGTCTTATACTCTGGTGCGTCTTATAGTCCGAAAAATACGGTATTACACTTTTATTCTTTTGAAGTATTTCTGAATTTCAAAAGCAATTTCTAAATTCTGCGACTTGTTTTTCATAACACACATCAGCAAAAACTCTTGGACACTCTGCATTAATTTTGCCTGTGGCTGCAATGATTTGGAGCAGATTTTTTTCAGGACTGTATTCATTGCTTATTTTTAAACTGCTCATTATAAAATTTCATATTGTTTCACTTATGTGGTATTTAACACTTTGTTCTATTTTGCTTTAGTCACATTGATCAGACAACAACATGGCAGGATCCAAGGAAGACTCTCCTTTCCCAAATGAATGTTACAGCTCCTACAAGCCCTCCAGTGCAGCAGAATATAATGAATTCAACAAGCGGTAAGGAGAAACCAACCAAAATTCTAGAGAATTGCAAGAAGGTTAACTTTTAGTATATATATAGTTTATGCCTATCATTTGTCATTATTGCTGAGATTTATTACTGAAAATGGATGTTACACAGATTGTCTTCCATATAAGCAGAGGTGGTATTCAGCCGGTTCAGACCGGTTCTGGTGAACCTGTAGGGCCGACAATCAGTTGGCCCCGCCCACCCGCCCCCGTTCTATCCTGTCCTTTATTTCCTGCTTTGTAGCTCATCTCAATCGTGTGGCACAGCTGATTCCCCCCCCCCCTCGCTGTTCTTTTTACCGTTGCTGACTTGGAAGGTAAGCAACTGAGCTTCTAAAGGCTCCATTTTCAGCCCTGTGCGCAAGCGCCTTAGGTACACGCAAGGAGCGCGCTCACCGAACCGGTTGTTAAACCGGCAGCATCCCACCACTGCATATAAGTATTTATCAAACAGATACTTCCTATGAGAAATAAAACACAAATTGATGAATAGAAAGTGCTATGGCAGTGGAGGAAGTAAGCTTGAATTTTTTGAAACATTCTAATTTTTAAAACAGTATATGAGGATTTGTGCAAAATGCCATTAGTACCATATTTTTCGGAGTATAAGACACTCCGGACTATAAGATGCACCTAACTTTTTTGGGGAGGAAAACAAGAAAAAAAAAATCTGCCTCTGCCTCCTTGCAACAAACAGCAAACAGTCTGCTTTAGTTTCATTTTCAGCACAGACTGATTAACACAAGAAAAAAAAATCTGCCTCCCAGCAATTTGCCTCCTTGCAGCAAACAGCGGAGGCCCGCGCGGCAATAGGCAATGGCAATCCCTGCAGCCTGAAACAGCTGAGGATCGGGCGGCCGATCCAACCAACAATCAACTGCTTGTGGTAATCAGGCTATGCTGAAGCTGAAATGGGCTGTTTGTTGCTTGCTGCAAGGAGGTAAATTGCTGGGAGGCAGAGGCCAAAGGGTGGGAGCCAGTGGGTGGCCGGGGCTACATACGGTGTATAGGACACACCCAAGTTTTCTCCCACTTTTAGTGGGGGAAAAGTGCGTCTTATACGCAAGTCTTCAATATCCTCTTCCTAGGCTTTGCCTTGTCATGTTGAAAACTTTCTCAGTTTTGTTTCTTTTATATCTCAGTGCATTTATTTCTTATTATTTTGTTTGCTATGACTTCATAGTGGCTTTTATTGTCATTAGTTTGTCATATATAAATACATCTTTAGTTTGTCATATGCAAATATCAGTATTTTCTGAATTCCATGTTGCCAAGTGATTTAAGCAATATGGAATACATCTTTATAGCAAAGGTATGTCAAACATATACATGTATGTTCTTAAGACCATGCTATAGCTGTGGAAGGCAGCTTAGTGATCTTGAGAAGAGATGTAGCTGCCTTAAATGGGTGCCTACAGTTGTTACATTACTGTTTCCTTGTGCTTCAAAGCACTATTTTTACTTGAGGTATAAAGTACCACACAGTCCTGAGAAATCTGAATGGACTAGGTTTTGGATTGGAGGAAATCAGACTGGAGCGTACAGGGGGAAGTGTGTTACTTCTCCCATTAGATTTTGCCATCCAACTCTTTTTTTTCTAAGCTTGTCTTTGTCTTGTCGTTCCGGCCATCTTTTCAACATTTTAATAATTAATTTTCTGCCTTCAAAATAATGTTCAAAGTTGCTTACAGGTATATAATATACAAAGAAAATAAACTGTAAATGTGCAGAACATTTGAAATAAAGGATAAAGTATACTCTACAAAATAACAAACTAGAGTATTGAAGCAAAACGAACATTGATTTTTTGGGGGGGGGGGGGCAACCTGTGAAGGAAGAATTCTTTTGAATGAAGATGGGTCCCGGATTTCTAAAATGGCACTTTTTACAGATTCTGCTAAGGATACATTAATAATTAGTACAGGTAGTCTTAGACTTAACGACCACGATTGAACTTCCATCGCTAAGTAATGTGGTCATTAAGTGAGTTGTACCCGATTTTATGACCTTTATTGCCAGACAGACAGACTGACTAAGATGAAATGGTTTATTTCTGCCCCTGCTAGGATTGTGAATTAACAGACATTGGAACAGGCAGTCAGAAAACTTGGCTGGAATTTATAATTTTCCCCAGAAAAAATATAGTAATATCTAATATCTGTCTGCTACAAGTTTTTGTCTAGTGAGCGATCTGAAATAATTGTCTTTCCTTGAGAGAAAAGTCCTGCATTATTAATCTGTAGCTTCCCCATTCATTTTGGTAGATAAAACCCAAGTTCTCAATCTGAATGATAACTAAATGGGTTTTAATAATCCTCATCTCAGTCCATATCTTGTCCATTTGAAATAAAAATGTAGACTTTATTAAAACATTTGTATGAGCAAATACTTTTATGACTAAGAAAACAGGTGTTTTATTCTAAATGATTAAAGGTTTGTTCCATGGGCCTATATTCTTCATCTGCTGCTTCTCCTTCCTAGAAGATTAAGCAAAGATGATAGTATTAAAAAACATACATGTTGTTCTACTGTTATTTGTTCTATCGGCATGTTAAAGGAAAGGCTTTTATGTGAGAACATTGGTTGTTTATATGATAGAGAAAGAGTTCATTTAAAGTTACAGAAAAAGATGTTTACGGAAATCTCCAGGGATTTTTTAGCAAAATAAGTGTGTTTATTATTATTTTTTCTTTAAAACCATGATTTGAAGAGTGGTAAAAGTTTCACAGTAGTAATTTTTGAATCTGTCTATGCAATAAAACACTTTGCTGATCTGAAAGGACATTTTTTGCCGAGGAGTAATAGAGATTTGTAATTAGTCATACTTCCTAAGCTTGGTGAAAAATGATAATTATGGGTATCTAACAATGTGGAGAGAACACTGCAAATTATTCTGGTGGCAAATGTAGTCTTAGCAACACACTGTTTCATCTTGACCCAAGATGTAACAGTGAGACATGATTTAATGGCATTGTATGAAGTTCAGAATTGTTTTGTGAAAATAGTATTTAGTGTTTGGTTCGACAACATACTAATCATAAGCAGAATTAGTGGTTGAAAATAGGCAATTCTTCAATGGTTTTATTTTATTTACAGTATATAAGCCACTCATCTCAAGTATATAACTGGGCAGCTCACAACATTAAATGATATATCGGTTTTGTGCAAGCCTAATCTGGCATTAGATGATATTCGTATATTTACAGATTCTGTCCTGAAACATGAAAGCAAAAAATAATAATAATTGCTGTTTGAACTTCACCTCATTTTTATGGAATTGCTTTATGGTATTTTCTAAGCAGAACAAGGTCAAGTTTGGCATTCCGTTTTGCTTCTTTGTACTTGCTTAGATCAGGACAAAACATATGTGAAGGGGGAAGAATATTACTAATGTGAAATGCAATACATTATCCTGGATAATGTATTGAATTTTTTTCAAACCATGGCTTATTAAAGCAGCATATGAGATGAACTTCTGACCTAGATAGATGCAGGCACAGATATAGATTTTTAACGCGATAGACTAGCGTTAAAAATAATAAACAAGACTTCCTACAATTAGGAAGCAAGGTGCTGCACTGTAGCCCGAATATTTAACAGTTGAAAAAGTTTGAGGATGGCATGGGAAATAAGAGTTAAGAATATTTGCCGCATTTGTTTTGGATGAAATTATAGTGGTTTAGCAATTTTGTTTATTCTCAAGCTGTATGGTTTGATAAAGAGTTGGAGTAGTAAAACTAGCAGAACTCTGTCATCAATTATTTTTTTTAAAAAAAAATACAATATTTTCAAGATTTTATTAAACAAAAGTGAAATGAGCAAAGATTTTGGCATAACTTTATTCTCAATGTTTTGAATTTTTCAAAAAGTCAATATTGCAAATAAACTTTCCTATTTTTCTACACTCTTCATAATCTTCCTTTTATTCTCTCTTGGTTGGCCTTCCCAACTTAAAAGAGTTCATTCTCTCTGTTTTTCTTGAAATAACATTGAAAGTTTGTTAGCTAATCACTTTCATTTTCTACATAATTTCCATAGATTCTCATAATTAATGTGTGTTTTCTATTGAAGCTTAGTGGAGCATGTTCTACTGTGATGTTTCAATATGGAACATTAGCAATGCTCATTAAAACAGGACATTGCTGTTCCCAGCTAATAAACAAGTTTCTCCCTGATTAATGGTTTATATAGTTCTTTTATCCGCTAATTTATCTGTGGTCTTACCAAACCTGTGAAAACTACATGATTGCTCTTCCCATTCTGTAGAACAGGGACAGTTGCCCTCCAGTTGTCTACTGTAAGTTCATGATTAAAGATCAAAAAATGGTCTGAGATTTCTGAAATGATAGTTCAAAGAATCTGAAGACTATCAGGCCTTTTGCTTTTTATATAAAAGGGGGGGGGGGATTATTTCTCAGAAACTATCCAATGATTTGCCAGCCCAAAATTAGCATAAGCATGGTTAAGGGCTCCATGATGGCCTGTATCAATATATACAGCCTCTTTATTGAGTTCCTGTATTGTTTTTACATAGAACTTCCACTGTTTCAATAAAAACAATTGTACAATATAAGGAATAATGTACAAAATATGAAAAAATAACATAGCTAAATAGGAACAGAAATGTGCCTAAAATAGAGTTTTGAAATGTCCTGGAATATGAATGTTCGGCTAATTCTGAAAAAGATGCCAAGACAAAAATGAAAATAGGAATAGTTGTTTTTTTCTCATATTAAAGCCAGACAGTAGAGCCTGGACTTGTAACTATCCCTTTTCATTTTCGCAATAGGAAAAAAATTAGAATAATTAAAAGATGGGGTAAATTTTAGGGCATTTTAATATATTTTTTTCACTCTAGATATTTGAAACGAATGTTTTATTGCAACACAGCTATAGTATTCTTCCTTTCCCTTAAAATCCTCAGAGCCATGATATGCTAAAACAATTAGTTTCATGTGTGCTGTGTTTTATGTAAAGTAACTGGGGTTTGTTTCTTTTCTTTTTTTTTAAGTTTAGCTACTTTTTTCCAGCAGGCATAGCACAGCCTACTATGAATTGCTTCCTTCTGTGTTACAGACCCGCTCCCTGAAGGATGGGAACAAGCCGTGACCCAGGATGGAGAAAGTTACTACATAAACCATAAGAACAAGACTACATCTTGGCTAAATCCAAGACTTGACCCACGTTTTGGTAAAAGTTCCTGGCACTTAAAATTCTTACCTCCACCCCCCCCCCCCCCCTTCCCTCCCACTTAAATTAAAAACTAGTAGCTGTAGCCAGAGACTTGGCTAATGATTTTAAATTAATTGAGAAATTCACCCCCCTCCCATCTTGATGTCTTGTGCCTTTGCCCACTCCTACTAACAGCATGTAACCCTTTCTCTTCCTTGAGGGCAAGGTAAAGCTTCCCATAAACTCTCTCTTTTCATTCAGACTCATCATATTTTGATTTTCTGTTACCTCTCCCATCCCTTTTTCAGATTTGATTTTTTTTCCCACTGCTATTCTATTTGTTATTTTTATTGTATAAATATAGAGATGATTATTTATATTGCCAGTTGTTTCAAAGATAATTCAGGGTTTTTTTTATTGAACATGATGACTTAGGTGTTGATAAAAACAGAGGCTACCCAGCATGTGTAGGGTAAAATCAACTTAAAAAGTCTAGTTCATGATACTTTTTAAGCCTGTTTGCTTACTTAGCAAGAAGCTGATCTGACTCTGAATATTAACTTAACTTTCAAATCTTCCTTTAGATTTATGTATCGTGGGGCATTGCTTTAGATTTCTGTTCTATTGTATATAAGGCATTGTCTGGAGTATAAATTCTTGTTAGTATAATTGTTTTATTAAAATAAAGCAATGGCAGTTATTTGTTGTTTAAGCTATTATTATCAGTCTTGTACTCTGATCTAAGAACTGCAGAGTAGATTTAAAAAAAAAGTACACATAACACCTTTCTTCAAAATTTACAACTTCCAATTCTGTATAATTTTCTTTTCATGATAAGTTCATTCATAAGCGAGTCAAGCAAACCCCATTAGAACAAATAATGTCACAGCGTTATTTTTTTTACTCCATCGAGGACCAAATAATTTTGGGGGAGAGCTAAAATACTAGCAATTAATGTACTATTTATCACTTTGTATTTTATCCTTTCAGATGAATTTTCTTGATGTAAAGATTACTGGAAAAAGTTAGGTTTTGATTTTGTTTCACTTTAAAACAACCGCTAATGCAGAGGTAGCAAAATTATGCAAAAGTTTCAGTTTTGCCCAGTGAAGAATTAGAAATTTGCAACATTTCTTGTGTCCAGTGCAATCCTGTGTATGTGTATTCATATGTTAATCCTACAGTGATTAATTAGGCTTCCTAAACTGTGTCTTAAAATTGCTGCGAACTTTGTTTGGAATTTAAGCAGTCAAAGGTGCTATGCCACTAATACAGGAAAAAGTAAAGAAATTGCAATAAAATATTAGCGTATGCCTCTTTCTTTAATAAGAACACTTCCATGCAGATCTGCAGCATAGCTGAAGTTTCAAGAGTGAAAGAAGAAAAAGAAATATTCCCTTCCCATTAAAATCTTCCCATTCTTTATTATGTAATAAGAAAAGAAGACCAAAGGTTTGAGAATCTTAATTCTCAAACCTAACAGACATATGACTATCATTATAACTTTTAATTACTACTATTATTATTTCAGTCAAGATGCTATAATAGGACTTACATTTCCAATTTTTTCATATAACAGCTCTGTCAGCTGGCCTGAATTGACTGATAGTGAAGAACCATGAATCGCTCACCAGTTTTAGTCCTATACTTTATTAACAGATAAGCACCTGGCTCTAAATGGCAGAGGCGGGGCAGCTTCCAGAGAGTTGCAAAAGAAAGGTGTTTTTTCCTTTCTTATTCCAGAAATATTTCAAAAGATATGGGTAGGGGGTGGGGGGAAAGAGCTGAAAAACTTACAGCACATAATTCATTTCTGTTACCAGTTCTAGATCCTATGAAAAGTCTGGGGTTATCATCTACTCCATATACAGATTGTTTTCTTTTCCGTTTTCTTTAAAATTATCACTCACATCTTGTTACATTTCCAAAAATCCAGGTGCACAGAAATACTATGAACATTTCTTCCTTCCAATCCTCGCATTGTTCATATTGCAGGGTTTGCAGGTGCGTGGGTTCAGGTGATGCTGCAGTTTAGTTGTCACAATGGGTCTGTAACTGCTTGATAATACTGAAGGCTACTTAGCAGGATGGAATAAGAATCACAGCCCACAAATTACTTAGTAGTTCTATACCTCTGGCTTACATCATTTGAAAGCATTGTTCTGCAAATTTGGGGGGGGCTCATGTCATCTGGCTGAATAATTGAAATTATGGTAAACTGGAGGAGCTTAATGTAGACTTCTACTGCTTGATAATAGCTTGAATAATTATCTTAACTTTCTTCAAATTGGACAAAACAATGTTTAAAATGCTGAATATTTCAAGGATTATATTATTATCTGTTCACAACACTGTGAAGTCACAGATGTTTAAACTGGTGTTGGCCTTCATGCACAACACGTTCTAAGACCAACAACCTACGGTGTCGTAATGAGATGTGTAATGTAATCTAGGGGCTGTTTTCCAGAGAGCAAAGAAGCAGCAGAGCTTCTAAAATTTGTTCAGCAGAAAGAGGGTTAAAATGGCTTCTCTCTGGCTATTCCCAGAATATATCAATAGTTATGCCAGTAGTTGCTTTGGTCTGGCAAGATTCTGTCTATAAGTGAAGAGCACTAAAGGAAACCACTCTTAAGTGTTCAAGCCACGATGGCGCAGTGGTTAGAGTGCAGTACTGCAGGCTACTTCTGCTGACTGCCAGCTGACTGCAATTTGGCAGTTCAAATCTCACCAGGTTCAAGGTTGACTCAGCCTTCTGTCCTTCCTTGGTGGGTAAAACGAGGACCCAAAATTGTTGGGGGCAATATGCTGACTCTGTAAACCGCTTAGAGAGGGTTGTAAAGCACTGTAAAGCGGTATATAAGTCTTAAGTGCTATTGCTATTGGAGCTTTGCAAGCTGTGCAAGCCTTGCTCCCATAAGACAACAGCATTTATTTGATGGGACTTGGAGTGCACCCATTCTGCAGATGGTGCCTTTAGACAGAGATACGTTAGTGTCTAAAGAGGAAAGATATAGATAATCCTGTAGATAATGATTGTACCTGAAAACATGGCTTAATCTGTTTCCCATAAATGTATACAGTTATTATACCTAACACTATATGATTTTCAAAGGCAAATTAGAAGTGTGGTTAAGTTTTTTCCTAAAGCAAGACTGCCTGATATTTTTTCCTGGCAACCTAGGTTGGTAGTGGATACTTTCAGGTTTTTATTGCAACCATAAGATTGCTTTTCAAATGTATTTGTGTTGAATACATACTCTTAATTTCCAATTTTGTATGTATGTGTGTGCTTTCAGATTAGTCTTGATTTAGTGACTGCCGAGACCAATGATGGCTAACCTTTTTGGCACCAAGTGCCCAAATTGGAACGTGTGTATGGCCGTGGGCACCGGAAACCTGAAAAGCAGTTGGCCAGAGCGCGTATGCCTGTTTTTTGGCAGTTTTCAGGCAGTTTTTAGGCTGTTTTTCGGGCCAAAAAACAGCACAAAACAGCCTGGAAAATGGCCTGAAAACAACCTGGAAAAATGACCCAGTTCTTGGCCATTTTCTGGCTTTCTGGCGCCCGCGAAGACCCAATGGCCGGCGTGCATGTGCATGCCGGAAACCAAAAGAGCAACTGGCAATGGCGCGCATGCTCACAGAGAGGGCTCTGTGTGCCACAGGTTCGCAATCACGGGCCAAGACTAATCCCAGCAGTTTTCTGTGCAAAATTTCATAAATGGCTTGTGGGTCGAGGGTGTTAAAAATATTATTAATAATAATTTTTTTATTTTAAAAATGAGGCCTTGAAATATTTCCTGAAAATATAGGCAAAAAACAGTAAATAATTGAAAAAAGATTTATCAATTAAGCAATACTATAAAATGGAAGGGCCGTTGGTCCTACCTAAACGCCGATTCTTTTCAGCTGCGGAATAGTCCAGGAATGGCTTGATACAATCTGATCTGCCTGGAGACTGAGTCATAATTTTTTGGCCACGCCTCCACGTCTCTCCGTCAGGCCCCAGTTTTCAACTCAGTCATCTGATAGAGACATCTTTGGCAGTTGCTCTTCAATCAATCCATTCCTGGAAAATGGAACAAAGGCCATTTTTGAGCTTAAAGCCACACAGCTGGTACCCCAAAACACTGGGGTAGATGCCATATAAATCATCTTTAGGAGAATGTATCATTGATTGGGATCAAGCCTCCCAAAGGGGCTGGGATAGGAGGAGCTGGACTCATGTGGGATAGTCTTTCAATCAAGCTTATGTTGGCTGGCAAATTCTCAAGAGTTGAAGTCCACATATCTTAAAAGTTGTTGAGGTTGAGAAATACTGATATAGGAGGTGGTCCTTCTGAGATTTTTCATGATGATTTTAGTCTTGACTTCAACCTGTTTTACTATGGGAAATGGACTATATTTGGACGGAATCAGGGAAGGGTACTTCTCCTGGAAAAGAATGGATGAACTGCTAAATATCATATTTGAGTTGTTTGTTGATGATTTGTCAAAACATGTCCAGGTTGTTGTTGTTGTTTGCTCTTTTTTCCCCCCAGGTAATTATTCTTTTCATTCATCTTTTCTTCTTCACACACTTTACTTGTGAGACTTAACAAAAATTTATCTGCAAATAAACAAAGGTCAGACACAAATACAAAATATATCCTTCAGGAAAAAGTAGGGTAGTACTCAATGGCATTACCTTATGTGGAGGGGCATAACTACTTGGCTTAAGCATTCCATTATTTCCTAAGATTCTTAAATGACAACATCAGTTAAAATAAGATCTTCAGCATCTAAAAAAGAAATGCATATTACTGTTTTATTTTTGAAAGTGCATAGTTTCCCTTTTTGGGCCCACTGTCTATGCTTAGTCAGGACAAGTTTGACTAAATGCCAGAAGTTTCTTTTATTATTATTTTGTGGTTGGGCTTTTAATCTGTTCCAGGTGGAAGGAAAGGAAGGAAGGAAGGAAGGAAGGAAGGAAGGAAGGAAGGAAGGAAGGAAGGAAGGAAGGAAGGAAGGGTTATTTAGCTAAGGAGAGCAAGAACAGAACAAAACCAAATACAAGGGCTTCCCTGAACTCTGATGGCAAGGGTGAGGCAGGCTGCTTTTCAACAGCGAAAGGCTTCCTTGAAAATGAACATTTTGCTTATGATAAATGTATTGCAGATTTCTGTGCCAAGGAAATTGTTCCTCTTACAATTTCAGTTATATGAGTGCAAAAAAAAAAATCAACATTAATTGCTTGTATAGTGATTTGGTGAACTTGTACAGAAAAGGGTGAAGTATGCCTACATTGCCTGTCCCCTCTGTTAGAATTGCTTGGAGTGATAAAAGAGGAATCATTGCAGTGGAAGGATTAAATATTAGAAATCATTCCCTCACCCCCCCCCCCCCCCCCCCCCCCCAGGGGAGAGAAAATTGGGGTTTAACAATTTAGAAAATGCTGGACTTGTCGATAGCAATAGCACTTAGACTTATATACTGCTTCACAGTGCTTTACAGCACTCTCTAAGCGGTTTACAGAGTCAGCATATTTCCCCCAACAATCTGGATCCTCATTTTACTGATCTTGGAAGGACGGAAGGCGGAGTCAACGTTGAGCCGGTCAGGATCGAACTCTTGGCTGTGAGTAGTGAGTTAGTTAGCCTGCAATACTGCTTTCTCACCACTGTTCCACCTCTGCTCTTGATGTTGTTGAACATGAAGATAGTGCTTTAGATAGAAGTTATACATCTCTAGATATATTGGATAGGAAAGGTTGCTTCATCTCCCAAAAGCATTATTTGTTTGACTGCCCTGTATATCTTGCTTCCCCTCCTTTTTCAAAAATGGTTGCTTACAATTCTGTGTTGAAAGTAGAAGATTCTGAAGTTTCCTTTTGAAAACTTTAAAATCTGTTGGATAGGAATAAATAATTATTTGTTTAATATTGTTTATAATAATAATTATAATAATTTACATTTACTGATTTACATCTACTAACGTGCTAAAAGTAATCCCTGCTGAACCCTTGGCTTAAGAACTAAGGAAGAAGTTAACCATCAAAGTAAACAGAATTAAAGGACCAGGACCTATACTGCAGAAACCGTCTGTTGCAACACAAGATTCAGAATGTAATCAAAATAAGCAGCTACATTAGATATCCTATTGTTCAAGCACTCTGGAAATCAAATGCATTGAGTTTTGGCCATCATTTCTTCCTCGCCAGTTAATGAAGTAAAAACACATCTGCTTTTCCTTATATCAGTTTTGCAGAACTCAAATATTGGTAATGAAATGCAGCATCTTGCTTGCATTTTCTATTCAGTTCAGCTTTTATGGGAAAGTTTCCAATTGACCCACTGTGGCTCTTGACAGGCAGATAGAGAACTTCAAGCAAGTTTTTTGTCCAGAGTTTTCCGTATAGCATAGCACTAATAGAGAGGCGAAGGCATAGCTCTGGAGAACGGAGGAAGTGGGAGTAGCAGAAGTAGAAGGAAATGGAGGAGGAGGAGGAGGTAAGCAGGTGTTAGCAAGCAATGTAAGTATATGTTTTTGGTGAGTAAAATATGCAGCAGTATGCACACAAGTTCTTACTTGTACATCCCTTTTCCTGAAGACCTAAACTGGCGTCCAGTGAGCTTTTGGGAGCAAAATAAATAACAGCTATTCCTGTTTTAGTGCTTGACAAAGTAATCCTACGGACACTGTATTCATAGAGACAGTGATCAGGGTATTAGTCTAGGTAGACTTAATCAAACTTCTTTGACAACATTACTCAAACAAATTCAAAATAGGAGAAACAGAAAGGATAATGCTTTTGGTAATGTGTGTAAAGGGCCATATTCTCAAGTAAAATAAGTGTCCAGTTTTAATTGGGAGCCACACAGATTTCAAGCTTTGATGGGCAGCTATGCACATTTTAAAAATAAAACAAATAAATAAACAACCATCATATTTTCAAAGCTAAGTTTCGGATTTGTAGAACTTTTCTAAAACTTTGATAGATTTGAGAAGAGAGGATGAACTCATTTCTCTCTAGGGATACAGAGAAGATTTTTTCCCATCATGACCGTTGACTCACAATCTTCTCAGCATCTCTCTATAGCAGGGGTCTCCAAACTTGGCAACTTTTAAGACTTGTTGAAGTCCACAAGTCTTAAAAGTTGCCAAGTTTGGAGACCCCTGCTCTACAGACTGGAGGAGGAGTAGATGGAGTTCTATCCTTTTTGTATTGGACAAATGCAAAACGGCACGAGCGCCCCTTGCTTGATATTTTCTCTAAATTATGCTTAGAAAACTAGATAACTAGAACTAGATGGGTTCGCATCTCTCCTTTTTTCAGTCAGCAGTTATTCAGTTGCATACTTTGCTATGACATCTGAATCGCAAAACAAGTGTACGCTTCTCTTCTGTATCAAGAATTGAATGCATAATTAGAAGTGTATTTTCCTCTCTTTTATTTAAAAATATATTCCTGAAAAGCTTTATGATCATATTTTAAGAATACTGAGAATTTTTTAAAATAAGTTACTTATACTTTATAACTGGATTGAACCATTTTATAAATCGTAAATAATATATATATATATATATATATATATATATATATATGTTTTCTCAGGTTTTCGCGGGTGTTTGTATGTAGGTCTTTGGTTATTCGGGTCTTCTCCCACGTAAAATTGGAAGTGTCTTGGCGACGTTTCGACGAAGTCTCATTCGTCATCTTCAGGCTGGTGTTCTCGGCTTCGTGCTTCCAGGAGCAATGTGAGATCGCAGCTGTCTCTTCCTTTTAACTGCTAGTGGGGGTGTGAGCTGATTGGGTGGGTTGGCTGTGTTCTGATTGGGTGGAGGTGTGTTCTGATTGGTTAGGGGCTTGGCTGTGCTCTGATTGGATGGGGGGTTTGTTGTGCTCTGATTGGCTGGGGGTGTGTTCTGTTTGGGTGGGGGCTTGGTTGTGCTCAGCTTAGTCTGAGCACAATCTTAAGCTGAGCACAACCAAGCCCCCACCCAAACAGAACACACCCCCAGCCAATCCAGAGCACAACAAACCCCCCATCCAATCAGAGCACAGCCAAGCCCCTAACCAATCAGAACACACCTCCACCCAATCAGAACACAGCCAAGTCCCCACCCAATCAGCTCACACCCCCACTAGCAGTTAAAAGGAAGAGACAGCTGCGATCTCACATTGCTCCTGGAAGCACGAAGCCGAGAACACCAGCCTGAAGATGACGAATGAGACTTCGTCGAAACGTCGCCAAGACACTTCCAATTTTACGTGGGAGAAGACCCGAATAACCAAAGACCTATATATATATATAAATACACACACACACACACACACACACACACATGCTGTGCAGGTTAATAACAGTAATAAGACATGTTAGGATTTGTTAAGTTTTCAAATAATGTAAACAGTGAGTTCTTGGCCTTAATGGTGTGGAGATTCTGAAATCATGACCATCTCTAATAAAATCTCAGGATCTAAAGAAAAATCAACCCATGCCATGAAGGGTTTCACTGGTGGTAATCAACATATTAAATTGCACCCAAAAGCAAAACAGTAGCCAATGCAACTTGCAGAACATTGGTGTAACATGGGCCACCCTAGAGGCCCCAAGAACTGCCAACACCACTGTATTCTGCATTAATTATAGTTTCCAAATACTTTTTCAAGGGTAGCCCCATGTAGAGTACATTGCAATAGTCCAGATGTGAGATGACCAGGGCTTGAATGACTGAACGCAGGGACTCCCAATCCAAGAAAGGATGCAATTGGCGTACAACATAGTTTCTTCTAACCCAGACTGCCACCCGCTCTTTGAGCAGAAGTCGCAAGTCCCAGGAGAACCCCAAGTTGGATACCGGGTCTCTCTGAGGTAATACAACCTAATCCAGAATTAGAGATGCTAAACTCCTGGATCTCAAAGCTCCGTGTACCCAAAACCACTTGGTCTTGCCAGAGTTTAGTCAAAGGCTGTTGTGTCCCATCCCGACCCTCATAGCCTCCAGCCACTGCAAGAAGGCAACGACAACATCACTTGGCTCACCATAGAGAGTTCAGTACCATTCGCGTATTGATAAATACTTCAACCTATGGTGATGTATAACTTCATCCAGCGGCTTCATACAGAAGCTAAAGAGGAGTAGAGAGGAGAGTACCAATACCAAGCCCTGCGGCACACCACAAGGAGTCAAAGTGGATTGGATCTCTCACTCCTATCAGCACCACTTGGGACCAGCCTGGAAGAAAGGAGCCAGACCAGCACAAAACTGCACTGCTCAACCTCAAACAGTGAGACCAAAAGGATACCATGGTCAATGGTATGGAAGACTGCTGAGAGAATAAGGATGTTGGTACCACCCCCATCCCACTCTCACCTGAGATCATCAGCAAATGCAACCAAATGTTCCTGTCCTGGGGTCCAGATAATCTGTTCCATCCAGGGCCCTCTTCAAGCAACCACCTTCTCTACCACCTTCCCTAAAAATGGAAAGTTGGAAACTGGACAAAAATTGTCCAGGCAGGTGGGGGTCACAAGATGTTTTTTTTAAAGAAGGGGGCAAACCAGAGCCAGGAATGTCCATTCCTGCAGTGAGGAATTAATTACTTCCTGAAGCCATCTGGTGGTCACCATATGGAAGTTGTCATCAACCAGGATAAAGATCTAACTGACAGGTGGTTGCACTGACAGCATCGGGGACCCTACCCACTTCATCAAGTCCAGCAGGATCAAACTGTTCCCAGGTAACTAGGTAAGACCTTTCCCCAGACATTTCACATAGACCATCACATACAAGTTCCAACTGGGCACAAATCTGAGTGATTTTCTCCATCAGGTATGGAGCAAAGTCCTCCATGCAACCATGAAGATAATCATTCGGAAACACACACACACACACTCCCAGAAGGCACCACACAGTCCTGAACAGAGCCATCAGGCGACACTCTGGATGCAATAAGGGGCATAGAAATGTTGATGTTTCACCACTCATAACTGCCACAAGATGGGCCTTAAAGGCAGCTCTGTGTCATATCCAATCAGAGTCCTTCCTCATCTTCCTCCAGCGGCGCTCTAGGTGTCTCTTAACCCTTTTCAAAACCCACAACTCCTCTGTGAAACTGTTACTGGAAAGTCAAACAGCTTGGTGATACATTATATTAAACTCTCTCACTGAAGGCTAACAGGGAACCAGTTTTTAATTCACTTATGCAAGTAGAGATACTCTTATATAGAAGTAAGATCTGCCTACTTTTGCTTTGTGTTATATCAAATGACTAACATGAAGAAATACCTTGTTTTTCCTTGCTGTAGGTGTATATTGTCATAAATACTTAAGAAAATGTATTGAAACCAGTACCCCTCCCTTCGTTTATATGGACATGGGAATCCTGGAGAACATCTAATTGAGTATCTAAAGCCAGCATAGTCTTCCATTTTTCTATTGAATCTTGTGCCTTTTAAGTTTGCCCATAATGTATAAAATGTGAATGTTCAAATAAAGAGCCTTTTCAGTTCTTTATTTTTAAATAGACATAGCATTAAATCCTACCTACAACTTAACCGGAGTGTAAAGCCCTTTGAACATAGTTGGATTTAGTTCTAAAGAAACATGGATATACTTGTTTATGATTTGGTTCTTTGTATTTACTAAGTACTGGTAGTTAAAGAGTTTCCAGGGTCTTCAGATTTATTTTTTTTAAAAAAATAAATACTGTACTGTTGTCTTTTAGACAGAATGAGCAGGGTATGTATAATAAACTGGATTTTGATAATTTCAGAAGGATAACTCGATAATGTACTGCATTAGAGCAGCAAGAAGGCGTCTAGACAACATTCTTTCCTAAAATTATCCTTGTTAAAAGGCATGGTGGTTTCATGAAACTAAGATAGATAAACAGTGCATTACTAACTTGTTCCCTTCACTTCTTCCAAATCCCTTTTCCTCCTAAATCCTCTGTGAAACAATGACTTGTTTTCTTTTTGTCTGCCTGTGAGGTCTTTGGTACGTATGGGTGTAGAACCCCATATTTAAATACTTCTCTGCTACCCAAGAAAAGAAAGAACAGGAAACAGATAAATCCAAATTCTAGTAGATAAAGGACTACCTATTTACTTTTTCCCTTTCCTTAATTTAGGCACCATTTAAAAAGAGGTTACGGTATGTTTTGAGCCACTAAAGAGGCATTGAACAAAAAGAATCCCCGATGGGAGACTTGTACAGTTGAAACTTAATTTGTATGGTTTTTCTAGACTCTCACATTCACTCCTTTCCTTTTCAACAGAATTATTCTCTCCTGTTAATAATGTTTTAAAATAATGTTAATAATCTCTTTAAAATACGTTATTTTTCTATTTCACTCATGGATTGAAAGTTGTAGCGTTCAGTGTCACTGCCCAAAGATATTTGTTAACGTTTTTTAAAAAAAATGTTTGTTTTCACTTTATTTATTTGTTTATTTATTTCTTGCCTTTTCTATTAAAGGCAAGACAGTCCTTGAAGTTTCCTATTATAGAGATAGAATGCAGAGGCTGAGTAGCACTTTTATGCCTTTATTTCTCTTTATCAGAGATTTTATTAAGAGACACTGTGCTCATAAATGTTAATCATTGTATATCTTAGACCTGGCTTAGAATCAGTTGAGAGAGTGAAAAAATGTTTGGTTCTTATTGTCACAAAAAAAGCCTCATTTTGATTTACAGCCCAGTAGAACTGGTTGAGTTGTCTGTTTACAACAGAAATGGAAGCTGGGCACATTTTTCTACATGAGCCTACATTAAGAATATTTTATTTCTGTGACCTAGGAGAAACCCAGCTGACTAAAACATGTAATTGGAATACAGCTGTTTTGCCCAAGTGCTTGGATAATTTAAATAGATTTTGAGAAGGTTGGCTATAAACCAAGTTTATGGAGTCTGACCTGGTTTTTTTTTCTCTCTCTCTTCAGTTGCTATTTTGAATTCAGTTTAATTCTTCCTTTAATTAAGCCATATTGTTCTGCTTGAAATAATATTGGAAATAATAAGGGTATCACTAAATATTAATCACATAATGTCTGCAAATATTACGGCCGTGTTCTGAGGACTTCCTTGGATACACAAACTAAATTTTGTACATGTATACTGATACTATGATTTCAATTTTAAACTCTCCAGGATTTATCTTTGTGCAGTATTGGCAATCTCTTTGAAATTCCGAGAGAGACAGAGAGTGACAGACAGACAAACAGACAGACAGACAGACAGACCCATCTGGATGGCCTTTATTAGAAGTATTAACAAGACAACTTTCTTTCCCTACTCATCTAGATTTTCCTCTGCAGCCTGTGAGATTTTTTAACATTATTATCCCTTCAGATTTAAACTTACGATGTGTGTTGGTGAACTCAAAACATAAATTTGCCTTTTTTCCATCTCATGTTAACATTATTGATTTGTACAGGTAGTCCTCGACTTATGACCAAATATTGAGCCCAAAATTTCCGTTGCTAAGTGAGATATTTGTTAAGTGAGTTTTGCCCCATTTTACAACCTTTCTTGTCACAGTTGTTAAGTGAATCACTGCAGTTGTTAAGTTAGTAACACAGTTATTAAGGAAATCTGGCTTTCCCATTGTCAGATTTCAAAAAGTATTTGACTCCAGGACACTGCAACACGGTCATAAATATGAGTCAGTTGTCCAGCACTTGAATTTTGATCACATGACCATGGGGATGCTGCAATGGTCATAAGTGTGAAAAATGGTCGCAAGTCACTTCTTTTCAGTGCTGTTGTACTTTGAATGGTCACTAAACAAACCTTTGTAAGTCGAGGACTACCTGTGTTTGCCGCTCATCTCACTGTGGGGCTACTCTAGTGTTAAAAATAGTAAACAAGATATATTTATACTTGCAAATGGGAATTCTTACTCTATTTCCTTTCTGACTTCTCACTTCCTGTTCTCAATGTTCTTTAATGTGAGGAAGCTATTATATTTGGCCCTAATTCTCCCTTTATTAAACCCATTAAGGCAGCGGCCTCCTACCTTTTGGGTACTGGGGACTGGTTGCATAGAGAGAGATTTTTCTGTGCATCCCATGATTGGGACTTCGCTTGTTTGCCCAGCCCAGTTTCTGGCATGGTGTGGACCGGTGCTGGTTCACAGCCTGGGGTTGTTGGGGTCCCCTGCATTAAGGCTTGTATATTCCAAAATGTTAGGATTTTGGGGGATAAGACTGCTTTACAGTGCCTGCTCTTTTGTTTGTTTCTACAGCTATGAACCAGAGAATCAGCCAAAGCGCTCCAGTGAAACAGCCACCGCCATTGGCCCCCCAAAGTCCTCCCGGCGGAGTCCTGGGAGGTGGCACTTCCAATCAACAGCAACAGATAAGACTGCAGCAGCTGCAGATGGAAAAAGAAAGGTTGCGACTGAAGCATCAAGAACTGCTTCGGCAGGTGAGGCCACAGGTTAGAAAACACCAACTTCCAACTCTAATACGATAATTTGTTGCTTATGCATGAGTGGCGTGCTTTTCAGCAGTGCAATTCTAGCAAGCATCGGTAGATAGAGGGAGTCGCAAAATCGTATAACTTGCCCCAGGAGGCGACAAATCAGACTCTTCGATACCTTTCGAAATATTTCTTTGTGACAGTTTGTGGTGCTGGGCTGTTTCTGGCATGGTGCTCTTTTCATTGCTGATAACTCTGCTTCCTGGACAACTTGCTGAGTAGCTCTGCAACTATATTAATGCTCTGCATGGTCAGAGCTCATCTGACTGAATTTTCCAGCTTTCATGATGGATGGCATGTGTGAATTTGGATCTGGTCTTGCTGTGTTTGTGAAGAGTATTGAAACTTTGGCCTTTGTGTAAAAAAAAAAAAGCAAACCCAAAGCTGTTCCTTTTTTTTAAGGACTTGACGCATTGTTCCATTTTCTGTCAATAGTCACCAGGGGATTTTGGAAGTTGTCAAGCAAGGCCTAAGGATATTGGCCCTGTTACCTATCTCAAGCATCTAGAACTTAAATATAAAAATATTTATCTTTTTAGGTATCATAATTTAAAAGTCCTTGAAGAATCCATGCTCCGCATATACCTAAACTGTTAAAAAAAGCCATCTAAGCCTGTTTCTGTTCAACAGATCTTGTGGAAGTGAATTCCATAAAATAATGAATTTTAGGAAACTTATCATCATAGTATTTTACTGAGCCGTCTTCCATGGATGTCGATTCTTGCAGAATGCACATGTCAATATGCTGATTACATTATGACTGTGTGCTTCATAAGAGAAAAAATGAAGGGGGGGGGGAATTCATCCATGTTAGGTAATGTTTATGTGGTAGCAGTAACGTTAGTAACTCTCAGAAGAGAACTTTAAAACGGATTAACCCAGGTCTTTTACTTCAGTTTAAATTTTGTTCTTTTAAACCAAAATACTTTTCTTAAAACGCTTAAATGTAAGCTGATTTGTTGCTTTTGCTTTTTTTTTTTTTTTTTTTTGTAACCCTGGAGGTATGAGCCCAAAGAAACAATGAAGCTTACTTTCTAAAACCTTTGCTCTCAGCCATTGCTCAGCCACTGTCCTAGATCTTTTGCTAATGATTGATTAGCTCCTTGTCTCCAGTGCTTTGCATCATGTTTTGTGAGGGTTGTGGAGCATTGCAGATTCCCTAACTGCTTTTGGAGAATCTTTTTAAAACCTCTTTTTCCTTGCTTTTTGGGTGGTGGTTCTTGCATCAGGCAGTATTTTCCTTTTCTTGGAGATCACTTCTTCAGGCTTTTTGCCTTCATCATTCCTTGCTTTTTCTGCCCTTGTTCTAGAGGCAGTTAGACTTTATACTAAAATAATATTTAAAGGAATAAATACTCCATTTAAACTGGATCTTTATGGGATATCTCCTTTAAAAAAATGAGTTGCCTCTGGACAAGTTAAAAATAACAGCTTCCTAAGCTGAATTTTCTGAACTTTGCCTATAACTGCTTTGCTATTAATATCGAACAAATTCAAATGCCGCCAAGCCAGCATGCTTTTAGAAAAGGCTTCTAATTTGGGATTTCTTTTCTTCAATATCTTCTTCTCAAGAAGATAACTAACTTCAAGCCAGGCAGTGTCCAGACTACTTCTTTTTGTATGTTTAAGCAAAACATGTTCATGTGCTCTATAAGCACTCCTAAGCGTCTTATTCCATTATGCAGCAAACTTTGCCATCTCTTAACCACCTTATCCCTTGTCATCTGTGGCTGCTTTAGGAACTTCCCTCTTGAGAACCTTAAGAAGATGATGAGTAAAGTCAAGGTAGCCTAGCCATCCCTGTCATAAGACAAAAAAGTAATGTTGACCCATCTTATTTCTTTTACTCTTAGGCGTTGCGGAATATCAATCCCAGCACAGCAAATGCTCCAAAACGTCAGGTAGGCTCATAACAAATGTTTCAGCAAAATAAGAAACATTTTCTTTTGACTTAGATCAGCTGTGCAAGGTGCTTGGGTTTCATTTGTATTTTAATATACCCCGGCATGCCTAAAAAGCAGCTATGTGTATCTCATAAGCTCGCTTTTGGTATGTTTAAGAAATAATTGGTGGTTTCATAATGGATACCTTCACTTGCTCTGTCTCCCCACTCCTCCAACACATATATCCACAAACAACTTCAAGACGGTATGGTCATATTTGTCATTGCTGGTTTCAGGGATCCAAAGAAGGTGCTTAGTTTTCTAGTTCTCTCTTAGATTTGTGTAACTTTGAATTTCTAAAGCATGTAAACTGGCCTATAAAGCTAAGGATTCTGTTTCAGCTTTAAGAAGCTAAGTTGCCTCAACTGTTTTTTTTTTTTAAACTTGGCAGCCAATCTTACAAATGTTCCTTCTGTAGAAAATAGGCCTAAAATTGAATATATCAAGTCCGCTGAATGTTTTAAAAAGATTTTAAAATTACGTTAACTGCCAATTCTCATTTTCAGATCTGCTGTGCAAATAAATATGTCACATTTAAATATTACCTCAGAGAAATCTTGTAATGGCCACCCTGTGATAATAGTGTTTCAAATGTTGCCAACTGAGTAGCTGGATAATAACATTGAATCTTATACTGGGCTATTTTAGGAATGAACCTCTATATGGAAGAATTTTGCTACAGCATTTTACTGGAAAATGTTTTGGGGTAAAGAAAATAGTAACGTACAGTTTCATTCCATCTGTCACATTTCTGGGAGAGTCTCACATTTTTATCTTTTCAGAAGCCTTCAGTAATATCATTATGATTTATCAAAGTTCAATTGATTTCAGTTATAGCCAAGGCAAAATTAAAGCCTGGTTATCTTGGTTGAAAATAAGTACTTATTCCTGGTATTGGATTAGGTTTTGTGTTTATCATATTATTCCTTCTGCCCTGTGTATAGAAACTGGCAGAATTAATGCAATGGTGCTATTTTAATTTTTACAGACATCCCAGTAACCAACTTTGTTTTAATCAGTGTTTGGACTGTGCTGTTTTTGTTTATTAGAGATGTTTTATTTTTCTGCATGCCATACACATATAGCTAAAAATAGCTAAATAATTTGAATTTTAATCAGGGTGGATAAAAATTTTAAAAAAATTAAAAAATGGATTTTTTTAATTTAAATTGGATTTTTTTTATTTTTATCAAATTTATTTTAATAAAATGCTTTTGGAGTAAAAATCTAAAAATAGTTTTCTATTTAAGATACATTAATAATTCAGTTTATTCAGCATGAAATGGAGCTTAGTTATGTAGCATGAGGCTGTATATTGTGCAATATTGGGACTGTCGGTGAGTCAACAGCAGGTCAGAGGAGGAGCTGCTACAGGACAGAGATGACAGTTGATCTTTAAAAATTATGATTTAAATCAAGCCTTTTTACTAGTGATTTAAATCATGATTTAAGTCGATTTAAATCAAATCCACCCTCATTTTAATATATGACTTCGATGTAAAGCTTATTCAAAAATCATATTTAAAATGTCTTATTAGTGGTTCTTCATTAAATTCAATGAAGTATTTAGTAGGATATAAAAAGATTCTGGATCATGTAAAAATTCTGGATCCTATACAGCTTCTATATTAATACCTTCGATGAAAATCAGGGAAGAATAGCTATCAAATCTGCAGATGCCAAAAATTAGGTGGGATAGTTAATAGCTTAGAACAGAGGTTCTCGTAGTAGTGTTTTGCCCATGAGTGAAACCAAAGATTTCCATAGAGATAGTAGGTAGCCAAAAATAAATGTTAACTACCTACTTTAAAAATTATGTTTATTTACTACATGTTATACGCCCACTTAATCCAGCAAGGATCAAAGTAGCTTACATCAATAGTCACACAGTGAGAGTATGCAATATTAAAATAGCAACAATCATTACCAACAAGATGGAGAAGAAGCAGCCTGAGGAACAGCAACAACATCCAACCTATAGGAAGCTTTCCCTCATCACTGATCTATACCAGGGTTCTTTGGAAAAACCAAATTGTAAGAAGTTTCTCAAAAAAGAGGTAAGATGTGAGCCAACCTAATCTATTTCAGATCTTAAACTATATATCAGAGTGATTTTCAAGGTGCCCACTAAGATTTGCACAAGCAGAGCCCAGAATCCAGGGCAAGCTTTGAAAGGTATAGGCCAGGGGTCTGCAACCTTAAACACGCAAAGAGCCATTTGGACCCGTTTCCCACACAAAAGAAAACACTGGGCATCACAAAACCTGGTGGGCATGACCAACTCGACATCACTCACTTCCACCAGTCATATGACCCCCCCCTAGCCACGCCTACCCAGCCGGTCATTAAGGCAGAGAACTGGTTGTTAAAAAACACTGGAAACCACAAAACCCTTTTGACATCTTTCCCCCCCCCTCTCTCTCCCTCCCTCCCTCCTTCCCTCTCCCCCTCTCTCTGTATCTCTCTGTCTGTGCCCTGGCCGCTTCTCCATCCCCCACAGTCGCCCTTCTCAAGCAAGTCGAGGAGTGACTGGGAGGGGAGGGTGAGGGGTGGGGCCAGCCAGTGGTGGGATCACCCGACAGGGAGCCACAGCAGAGGGCGCAAAGAGCCGCAGGTTGCTGACACCCACTATAAGCAAATCAAGGGTTGTATCAAAACCTACTGCCAATTGCCTAGAACAGGGGTGTCAAACTCAAGGCTCGGATGCCGGATCCGGCCTGTGCGGTGCTTAGATCTGGCTCATGGAGCTGCCTTGGAAACAACAATGGACCGGCCCGCGGTTCCTCTACCAGCAAAAACGGAGCTCAGGAGGGCCGCGGGTGACCCGAGCTCTGTTTTTGCTGGCAGAGGGTTTAGGAGGCCATCTCAGCCGAAAACAGAACTCTGGATTCCATTTTCACTGACCACAGCGCCCTAGACACAATTGACGTCGAGCTGGCCACGCCCACCCAAAATCAAGCACAACCCTGATGTAGCCCTCAATGAAATCGAGTTTGACACCCCTGGCCTAGACCAAAGTAATCAGATTTTGGAAACTGTAACCCCTTTGCCCTTAACTTGCTTGCAACCTTCCCAGATGGCTGAAAGCCGTTGTTTTAAAACCCTGCTTTAAAATACAAGTTTTAAGTCTATAAGTTAGACTTTTCTATCTCGATAAGTTGAAAAAAACTTCAGAAGTGGAACTAGTTAACTAAAAGATGTGTTGAAAAAGAGACTAATCCATCAGGGACACTTTAATTTGGATTTCCGAACTGAACAGTACATAAATTACTGCTTCCTATTCTAGAATTCCTAATAATAAATAATTGAATACAAATGTTTAAACAGATTCAGCAGAAAGGTGTTAGCATCATGCAGTGGCTTCAGCAACTCAGCTATAGAGAAAGAAAATGTGGTTAACTTAAAGTCTTAAGAATACAACTTGACAATTTTTAATAAATATTTTTTGAAGAAGTCAGAAAGAAGAATAATGGAAATAATGTACCGTCTTGATAGATACAGGCTTATAAACCTGGAAGACTATTTAAAAATGCAGTCTGAAATGACCATAGAGAGTACAGTCCACAAAGGATGCTATCATATTAGTTGGTGTAATAATATATAGCTCAGGTAAGACCTTTCTGGATATGGCAGTTATATTAAATAAATGATTTGCCTTGATCTTAAACTGATCGTTTGAAATAACTGAGACAGTTGCAGATAAGTAACTGGTTAGTGGAAATAATCTAGGGATCAGTATGATAGACATCTTTGCAATGTTCTTAAATTTATTCTTAAATACCATTTGGGGAAAACAGTGCTAATTTGCACTGTTCTCCTTCTGAGACCAACAAATCAAGCCCAATTTATATGTAGTTAAAACCATTGTACTTGAATTATTTCATGCACCAAAGATCTAAACTTCTCTTTATTAAACTCATTATGTTCACAACTCTATGCTGTTGTGAACAGTGAGACTGTGTGCTCTGTCAAGATTTTGGTGTAAGACTGATCTCATCTGTGTTGAATTTCCTGGCAAAATGTGTATTAATGTTTTTAATAAAAGTGCGTATGATCACAAGTCTGTTTGTGATGTTCCATCTTCTCCAATGTGGCTCAACCTTTTGCCAGACCTCAAAAGCACATACTACTAATTCCACATCACAGTGCTATGTGTTGACTGTGGGAGGACTAATGAGAGGGATTCTTGAATACTAAGTATTGTATCTGAATACGGAAGAGTTGGTTATAGAAGTATTACAGCAGGCCATACAGAATCCTGATTTATACAGATTTAAAAAAATAAACAGGGTATGAAAAAACTCCTGTTGTAGCTTCATGCAAGATGATTGGTCCAATTAAATATCTACAAATGGTGAAACTAAGTCCTGGGATAGATATTTATTGATGTCTCATGTTATTTCAAAATCAATGTGAGTAGGACAAATGTTGTATTCAGGAAATGCTGTAATGTGATTAGGAGATAGCCATCTGCCTGATCTTGTCTGATTTCAAAAAGCTAACTGAATTACATTTACTTAGTAATTGGATGTAGGATCAAGAAACTGCAGGCTTATAAGTAAGACTCTGGAATTGAGATTATCTCAGAAAATGGCTTTGGTAAACCCATTCCATATTACTGCCAAGAAAACTACATAGACCATCAAATCACCAATGATGGAGTTTGACTTGGATATTTTATATTTTTTTTACCTAATTAAAAAACAGCCTTCAAATGTTTGCTCGTAAATGTTGCTGACTCTCAAGCAAAAGAATGAAAAATAATCTACATAATCTTAATTGTTACTATAATTACTTGCTTGAACCATTGGTTACTTTTGTTCATAATCTCATTCTGGATAAACTTCTGAAAGTTTAAAGTAGGATTCTTGACTATTTATCTGTCCATATTTATTTAAATATGTAATAATTGGTAGAAGCCAGCAGTGTCTTAGTCTTCTTGGATTCCAGAGGATTACAATCTTAATCTGAAATTAAATTTTTCATTTTGTGTTCTTACTTTTTTGCTATCCAAAATATGAAGCTGGATTACATAAACTCCTGTTTTAGGGCAAGATTCCTTTATGGTTATTCATAACATTGTGAGTGCGTACTTTTTAGTATATTAGAAGCAATAATCTGACCACTTCAGCATATAATCTAATGAAAAGTTTTGAGAGCTCACTTCAGCAATGAAACCATTGTAAAGAAAGTTGGTTCAGATGATATGGCAGCAATTAACTTCTAATTATTACTGGGAGTTGCTTACTTGTAGAAATATCCGTGTTTCCCTGGAAATAAGATTGGGTCTTATATTAATTTTTGCTCCAAAAGACTCATTGGGGCTTATTTTCTGGTTAGGTCTTGTTTTGGGGGAAATAGAGTATTACATGCATCTGTCTGGTTGACGATCTTAACTGGGGCTTATTTTTGGGGTAGGACTTATGAGCATCCGGAAAAATCATGCTAGGGCTTATTTTCCAATTGGGTGTTATTTTGGGGGAAATGGGTAGTAATATCAAGGCTGCAGTTTCATGTGAAATCACAGGTTCTTTTGATTAAAAATAACTTAGATTAATGAGTCAAAGCAGTAGTTGATAACTAATAGCTCGTCTAACAGAAAAAAAACTTGCCCCAGAATACCTCAAAGCTGCATAAATGGAACAGCCCTCTGAAGATTGCAGTCCTGGGTATCCCTTTGATTCCAGTACATAAGCCTGTTTTTGTCATTGTTGCTTTCCTCAATTCCACCCTTACTCATTTTTACCATGTTCATATTCAGTCAGATCCCACTCTGTCTATGTGACATCTGTTTGGTCACTTTCAGGGCCTCTGGAACACCAGGACTAGATTGGTGTCAATGTCTAGAAAAGCCTCTAAAAATAAAAGGGCCAACAGCCTAATAGATTTATTTTGGCTTGAATCTAAATATTCTTTAGCCTGTGGAAACTATGAGTCTTCCGTAGTTCAGCTTAAAGTCATTTGAAAGATTCCATTCATATTTGGGGATTCTATTCTTTATACTCACTTGCTTCTGATTGGTAATATTAACGTCTGCATTGATATAAAAAAAGTGAAAATTATAAAAATGGAAACATAGCCATGGTAGTTTAGAACTTGAGTGTGGGTTTTTTTTTTAATTCAGTAGACATAGCCACCGAGTTACCAAGCACCTATGGGCAACTAACAATGTCAAAAAGAAAAAAAATCAGTAATAAGCCAATAAATCAGTAGAATGCAGAATAATTCACAGAAAAACATTGAAACATTCTGGCAGCTCACATAATATCCTAGCTCAGGGCTGAGGAAAGAACCAGGACTTCAGGTACCGAGAAAAAGTGTTGCACCATAATAATAATGTTTTCAGTTTTAATTTGGATTCCTTATCTGTAATTATTACAGGTAGTCCTTGACTTATAACGGTTCATTTAGTGACCATTCAAAGTTACAACATCACTGAAAAAAGTGACTTATGACTGTTTTTTACACTTACGACCGTCATAGCATCCCCATGGTCATGGGATTTACATTCAGATGCTTGACAACTGACTCACATTTATGACAGTTGCAATGTCCCAGGGTCATGTGATTTCTTTTGTGACCTGAGAAGCAAAGTCAATAGGAAAACCAGATTCGCTTAGCAACTGTATTCCTAATTTAAGAACTGCAGTGATGCACTTAACAAATGTGGCGGGAAAAGTCGTAAAATGGAGCAAACTCACTTAACAAATTTCTCACAACATAAATTTTTAACAACATAAATTTTGGGCTCAATTGTGGTTGTAAATTGAGGACTACCTGTACTAGTTCTTAACCTCTTTTTTTTTTTTTTTTTAAGCTACTTTTAATTTATGGAGATTTCTCTTTTGCAAATACTCCTTTTTTTCCACATAGAACTTTATTTTAATCTGCAACTTTTTTATATTCCAGAAAATACATCCCAAATAAATAATGTGCCAGTACAATGATGTTGTTATTGTCCATGGTATCAGAATCTGAACTCTCATGACACATATTACATTTATGGAAACTAATACATATACTTAATAGATGTCATTTATTATTTCCAATCTTGAATATCTCAGTTTCATAGAGTTGGTAAATAAATAGGATATGTAAAAAATCAAGCAGTATCAGAAATCTGTCACATATTATCTGTTCTATATTAGAAGGCTTAATGGCATTTATAAGCAAATAAATGAATATAGGGGTATGATCTATAAACAATTGTCACAAACACATATAAATTATTTAATAATTATGTTGTTAATAGGTGGTTTTGGAATTGTATTTGTACTCCACAATTGATACTGTGTTTTAATCTAGACTGCTCTCCAGCATAACCCTATTGCAGTATTTGTCACTACCAAATATTTGCTGATTTAATAACTAATCTTTTTTGAAATCTTTGGATTTGATTCTATAAAACATCACTATAAAATACAAAATTTTCACACTGCAAGGACAAAATGTTAAAAGAAGGTTATTATATATTTCAAGATTAGCAAAAAAAAAAAAAAGATGAATTTCTGACTCTCAAAAAATAGCATTTAAAGTGCAGTTGGACAGTATTCAAAAGTCTAAATTCATCTTTACAGTAGCTCCTCTATGGATTTGATAGATTATTTTAACTTGGTTTATAAAGTCATGTGTTAAAAATTATGTACAAAACAAAGTGTTAAATCTTAATTTTTTTAATGCCAATTAGAAACTTTTGACTTCGTTTTTGTTTTTTTTAAGTAATGAGGAAATAATAATTACCAGGCAGATTTTTTCCAGACTTCGTATTCAAACATTAACTAAAACCTGAATCCTTTCAGTATCTTTTTGATTTATGAATTAAAATATCAAGTTTCAAAGCCTTGCATTGGATTATATATTATATGTTAATTCCATGATTAAGAAATCATATTACAATGCTTTTTATTCAGCTGCCTTTAAACCAGAATGGTCTGCGTGTTTTGTTTCTATCCAGTGTTATCTTTTATTCTGCAAACATTAATTTCATGAGGATCTTGTTGAACATAGTGGGCAATTATGAATTACTTTTTCCTTCTTGGTATTGTGCAAGTTAAAAGCCATGTTAATGTTTATTAAGAATGAAGGTGAGTAATATTTGAGGAGCCATTGAAGGATGATGTCTCACCATCCTCATTAAACCTGTTGGTGCATGTACCCATTTCTAAAGCTGCTGACACCACCAGGTAACTTCCTACGTTTCTGATGGCAGAACTTTGGCAAACTTCCCATCGTTCAAACTGGCCCTTCCCATCTCTTAAACTAGCAAAGCAAATCCCTTTTTAACTTCATAAGAACTTGAAATATCTCCTGTGTCGTTACCATTCACATTGTCTTTGACGTGCCCATCCCTCCTGTTATGTCTCAGGTTCTTTTCCCTGCCTCGATTTATTTATTTTTTTTCTCCAGCTCCACCGTTTAAGTTGTCTCTCAAATTATTTGTCACTGTGCCACGATAAGGAGTGTGTATGTACAAAAAAAGGAATCCCGATGGTAAAAATGTGAGGTAAATGGATGAGAGTCGAGTAATAACACAATGAGTTCTGATGACTCTGATCAAAGGCTTACTTAGTTCATCCTTCTGTTCTCGCACCTGCCAACCAGATGCCTCTTGGGAAATTTAGAAGTAGGAGATCAGTACTTTACATTAGTACTTTCCCACTTACTGTATTTTTCGCACTATAAGACACACCTGACCATAAGACACACCTAGGTTTAGAGGAGGAAAACAAGAAAAAAAATATCAGACAGAGCCTGAGAGGACCACAGATAGGTGTCCTCTCATGTGCCAGCTTTGCCTATTGACTCCTGCATTGCGAAAAAGATACAGAAGAGGCAGGCAATGACAAAGACAGAAGAGGCGGGGTTCAGCACTGTAAAAGGACCCCGCCGCCGAGACCCAGCTGCTATTCACCAAAGGACCAGCTCCATTTCCACACACTTTTGGGAGGGGGGAGTGTGTCTTATGGAGTGAAAAATACGGTAATTTCCCTAACAGCTGATATTCAGGGGCGGACCTATGTGACTGATGTTGGACGTAGCCTATAAAATGCCATGAGTACCGTAGCAATAACTGATGACTGGTAAGAGACTTGTCCTAACTTTTGAAACATAGCTTAGCACCAAACAAATAGCACCAAACCTTGAATGTGAGTTATGAATACAGTCATTTCTTAATTGGCAGGAATTGGCTCTCCGTAGTCAGCTTCCCAGTATGGAACAAGATGGCACCCAGAATCGAGTATCCTCTCCCGGAATGTCTCAAGAACTCAGAACAATGACCACAAATAGCTCAGATCCCTTTCTTAACAGGTTAGTGGCAGTAGCTACCAGTGGTTTCATTTCACCAAAGCTAATGATTTTTCAAATTCTGTTTGGTTTCTGTAATCCTCTGTTTGGGACTTTGGTCTGTTCCAAGAACCGCAGCTGTAAAAGGATCTTGTCTTACAGGGCAAATCCAGTTCATTCTCGTATTTCCCCCTCCCCCACCCCCACCCCCACCCCAAAAAAGGCTGAAGATTGAAATCTGTGGAAGTCAACTGTTCAGACTTGTAGGAAAGATTTGTCTTCAAAGTTGTAACGTGTTCTCCCAGGCACAAGTCAATTGGTGCAAAGCGACTCAGAAAACCTTTTCAAAAACTAGCCCTGAATTTGCTGTGGGGCTCTCTTAAAGGAGTTTGCATTCTTCCTGATTTTAATTTTATTCTTTACAGCACTGACACACAGGAAATGGTGATAAGATTTAGCATATCATATTACAAGGCAAGCAGGCTGTTTTTTTTCTGGTGTTAATTTGTGAGGCCTCTGGTTACTAGTTAACAGGGTCATGTGTTTTAATGCTTCTAATTATTGAATAGATAAGGTTACAAATGGGACATCAATGCACGCAAACAACTGAAAAGAAGTGCTGGCTATTGTTGGTTACTTAGATATTGTTTCATTCCAGGACTGGAGTCTTATTTTTCAAATATAAGTCGACCAACAGAAGAAAATTACTGCTTTTTAATGAAATTTGCCATTTCTCCTTGCCCTACTATCATATAAATAATATTTTCAGAATTTTCTCAATGGCAGTCCTACAAAATTCTAAATTCAAGTATAAGGACTACCATAACTAAACTCTGAATATATCTGGAGCCCTTGTGAATGCTATATGTCTTTGTATGTTATAGTTAAAATGTCAGCCATTGTGGAACAAGTGCATTTTTAAAATACAGGCTGTCCTCGACTTACAACCACAAATGAGCCCAAAATTTCTTTTGCTAAGCGAGGCATTTGTTAAGTATATTTTGCCCCATTTTACAATCTTTCTTGCAGTTATTTAATAGCAATAGGAATGGCACTTAAACTTATATACCGCTTCACAGTGCTTTACAGCCCAATCTAAGTGGTTTACAGAGTCAGCCTATTACCCCCAACAAGTTGGGTCCTCATTTTACTGACCTCGGAAAGATGGAAGGCTGAGTCAACCTTGAGCCTGATGAGATTTGAACTGCCAAATTGCAGGCAGGCAGCAGCAGAAGGTTGCAGTACTGCATTCTGACCACTGCACCACCGCAGCTCAACTTGTTTGTCATATGAATCTGGCTTCCCCATATACCTTGCTTGTCAGAAGGTCACAAAAGGGGATCACATGATCCCAGGACACTGCAACCGTCATAAATATGAACCAGTTGCTAAGCATCTGAATTTTTATCATGTGACCACGGGGATCCTGCAACAGTTGCAAGTGTGAAACAAAGTCACAAGTCACTTTTTCAGTGCCGTTGTAACTTTGAACCGTCACTAAACGAACTGCTATAAATCGAGGACTAACTGCACACTTTTGCAGTGGGGCAGTCAGCATAATAATGTGTAAACTAAATTGCATTTTTGTTTGTTTATGCAAATTTGATACTGCTTCAGTCAATTGACTCGAACCAGGTTACAGACAACAAATACAAATTAGAAACATATTTAGATTAGAATTCTCAAGAACACATGAGCAAATTAGAAGGCATTGCCAACTTTTTTAAAAAAAATGTTGCCCTGACGGAGCTCTGTCATTACTAACTCCTATGAATTTATTAATTTTTTTTTTATTAAAAGTCACACAGACCTATTTACCATTTTAGAAGATTGCAGCATCAATAGCATTCCAGAAGTTATATGTGGTGGCAGCAAAGATTAGTCAAGGTTGTGGACGAAATTTATTGTGCTGGGAATGGATGCCACATGCTATACTGTATGCTGCATTGTGGGAATTGAGACCTGCAGAATTGAACGTTTAAAGAATTCTCCTTCATAGATTTGTTTTAATATGTGATTTTACGAGGGGAATATCATTCAACCCTGACTGTGAAAATGAACGCTTTTGATGATAAATGCTGGCTGTTCTTTCCATCAGTAACTTAAATTAACATAACATTTCCCTTGCAGTGGAACATACCACTCCAGAGATGAGAGCACAGACAGTGGCCTCAGCATGAGCAGTTACAGTGTTCCTAGAACTCCAGATGACTTCCTTAATAGTGTTGATGAAATGGATACAGGTGAGGGTCATTTCCTTCCAGTTGCTGTCTGGCTGATGCTTCTTGTACCTTGTTTAACCAGCAGTAAGATGGAGGGTGGGGGGTGTTGGTTGCAGTAGAATAGATACTAGTGAGACAGTGGAATTGTTAGGAGACAAAAAGGTACATTAACATTAGTTTCCTCAGAGAACAAGGAATTCAACTATATGTCTCACAGCATTTTGTCCGAATCTTATTGTTTGTAAACGGGGGGAAAAATCCCTTTGGATTTGTAGTGATTTTGACAGCAATCTTGTATTATGTCTTCTTTAGTTATGTGCTCAAATATGACTCTGAAAGTTCATGATGATGTCTTTAGTTTAAAATGGTCTGGATATTTTTGAGCTGCAAATCTGAACCATTTCCTAATTTACTGCTGCAGAAGTTCTGCAGCCTGGCTCCGTGGTTTCAGTTTTTAAAGTTCCATGTTTCCCTTCAGATTGATAACAAACACCATTAAAAATTATTCCGACTGCAATCATGCAGCTTATAGTGTTGTTTATTTAATCCTTTTATATTATTTATAAAACATTTTTTTTTAACCTTAATCTTGAAAATATTTCCAGAATGTCCTACAAGGTCAGTCATAAGACAATTGCTGTTTTGCAATACAAAACAACATCATGCTAAAAAGAAAGGCATGGGGAAAAAAACAAGTAGAGGTTTTAAATTGATAACTCTCCTTTTAAGGCAGACAGACCTTTTATTGTGGGCTGCTGGAAGCTTCAGAAGAGAAACCTCGCTTTGATTTTTCTCTTCCTTGAGCAACAGTTGTTGAACGTTATCTCAGAATGGATTGGCAGTTGTTCTTGGTATCAGTAGATGCCTTCCTTTCGTCAAAGGAGTTGTTCCAGTAGGGGGTCTCCATGATTTAAGATGTTGTGCTGATGCTCCATAGGGTGAGGGTGGCTTCAAATTATCAGTATTAAGAGCCACTTAAATATATATGCTTAATGCCCTGCTTTGCATTCATTGTGTATCTAGGTGACACTATCAACCAAAGCTCCATCCCCTCCCATCAGAACCGTTTTCCAGACTACCTTGAAGCCATTCCGGGGACTAACGTGGACCTTGGAACACTGGAAGGCGATGCAATGAATATAGAAGGAGAGGAACTTATGCCAAGCCTACAAGAAGCTTTGAGCTCCGATATCCTTAATGACATGGAATCTGTGCTGGCAGCCACCAAGCTAGATAAAGAAAGCTTTCTTACCTGGTTATAGGGGCCTCAGGGAGATGGAATTTGAAATCTTTGAAGGATCTAAGGAGATAAGACATGTACCTTTGTTGAAAACGGTATCATAAAGGCATCTTGGCTTATGATCAGAGAGAAAAACATTTTACTGAACAAAATACTTCAGATTTTGTCGATCCAATGTTTTGTTCTTTTTTTTTCTTTTGGCCAATCGCTGCTGTTATATCGCTGACCTCTTTCACATTGACTCTGAAGAATTCTGTTGTTGTTTTTTTTCTGTTGCAACTACTGTTCAGCGTGGTGGTAATGGACAGGGAGAGAATGGAAAAGTTGGGAGAGAAAGAGAGAGAGAGAAAGAAAGAGACCAGCTATATTTCTGGATTATGTCTACCATTCCTTTTGCCCTGCTTTCTGTTTGCTTGTCCTTTTCTTTGACTAAGGATGTTGGGGAGCTTCAGTTTTTGTGTGTTGGCAGAAAAACAAAATAACCCTTAACTGGCCCAGCAAGCCAAAAATGACATATCTGATAGGGGGTAGGATGTGGGGGGGGGGGGGGGGGGGGGGTCCATACCAATTTAGAAATAAAGTATAAAATGTTTTATTGTTGGGCACAAATTATCAGACATTTTAGTGTTGGATACAGTTCTTCATGCTGCTTGATCTATATTGAACAATATATTGGCATATTGACACATGCCAAGGACGGCTGTTGGATTGTGCCCACTGGCAGCTTCTTAATTCCCTCAGTTAGTTTGCTCACATTTTACAGCATCATAAAGAAACCCTTTTATACAAAAACATGGGTCGTGATTGTTGCCTCTTTAGCTTGTTTTCCAAATTTTAGATCTATTTTTAATTATAGCAGTAGATTAGAAAAGGAACTTTTTCTGGTTCTGTTGTATGTATTTGTTGTTTCTGTTTTAATATTTTTAAATACCGGTAGTGAAATCTAAACTTCCTGACTTTACCTAGTCTTATTTAAGTCTGAATGGGTTTTTTTATACTAAGCTAGTATAGCCAGTTAATATCAGTAGTTCTATGTTTTACTTACAGCTTTTAAAAAGATAACCTTGAATGTATTCATTAGATTAAAGAACCATTGGCTTAAGTTTCACCCCTATATCCAGAATTCAAAGAAACTTCCTTTTCTTGCAGAATTCTTTACCTAAATGTACTTATTTCGACATTAGTCTCACATATTCTGGAAGGAGTTTTTAAAGTTTCTAACATTTAACATTTAAAATAAATTTAAAAATGGCCAACTGTCTGGCTTTTACTCTGAGCTTTGAACACAGTAAACCTTACACTGAGTTTTTAATTAAAGAACAGTTTTCGTCATTGTTGGGAGAGCTTTTTAATTTTGATGAAATTGTTGACTTGAGAATCAAGTGTCCCCAATGAAAAGAAAATGATGCTTTCCTGTACATGATACTGTCTGCACTGTCAGGTGAGTTTACAATATTAGCAATGGAAACACTAAAGTTAAACTGTATCAAAAGCATACTGAAAAATAGGTCTATTGTACACTTAGAAGACTGTAAAGATATGTGATAGATAGCCACATGAGCATGTAGTTGGCCATGCATTTTAGTTGTAGCGATTAGCACTGAAGTCAAAGAGTGAGTATATATCTATAACTTTACTTTTAGCAGGAATGGATTATTCTCAAAGTTGTCTGTAGCAAGATATTCCGTATTCTGTAGTAGTCTGTAGGTGATATTCCGAAGAGTATTTTTAATGAACAAAATGCCCATGTTGAAATATAAGCTATGATGCCTTTTTCTTTTTCCTTTAAATGCATTGGCACCGATAAGTGCCTTGGAGGTCTGTCAACATTCCCATTAATTTGTTGCCTTTATTGCAAGAGTTTATAATATTAACCATCAAGAAAAGTTTAAACCTGAAATTCAGTATATAATTTTCAGACTAGGACAGGGGTGTCAAACTCAAGGCCTGGGGGCCGAATCCGCCCTGCGGGGTGCTTAGATCTAGCCCACGGGGCCGCTCTGGAAACAGCAGAGGGCTGGTCCACAGTGCCTCTGCCAGCAAAAACAGAGCTCGGGGGCCCTTTTTCTCTGGCACAGTGCTTGAGCCACCACAGGCGCCCCCAACATGAGTGACATTGAGTTGGCCACGCCCACCCTGGCCACGTCCACTCCGGCCCTCTGAGGTCAAACACAATCCTGGTGCGGCCCTCAATGAAATCAAGTTTGACATCCCTGGACTAGGACATGCTTTTTTAAAAAAAAATTGGACGGAGTCCAGTTCTTTGCTGAAGTTGGTAAAAGTTATTTCCATTTGATGTCTTGTGAATCAGGAAATGCCCTGTCCCTCGGGCACCACCTGTTCACCCTCCAAATCTGCTCTAAAGAGATTGGCTCTTTTGGGAAAGATTTTGTGGGTACATGGAAGAGAAGTCAAGAAGTGTAATGCTGGGTTTCAGCCATGTGTCTCTTTTTAGTTGACATGAGGATGAAGTTAAACAGTTGCAGCCCTGAGTTTTGTGTATGCCGATAAGCCACAGCTTAACGAATTATTTTTCTTCTGCGATGCCATATCAACCTCCAAGTCAGTGAACATGGGAATGGGGTCATATGAGCAGATTCTCAGTCCCACTAAGAGGATTCCTCTGTTTTTTTACTTCCCCACCCTTTCCAAGAAATACTTGAAAGCCAACTGAACCTAACTACAAATTGATTCAAATAGTGTTCCAAACGGGAGAAAGGGTGAGAAATGCTGAGGTCTTGCATTTGGTTTTTTTTTTTCCATACATGGGAGGACCATCTGTCCCTGTTTGAATATCAAATAGGAACTTCTGAATTCCTGTACCCAGTAATCGTTCTTGGTTGCTTTACTTGGTTACAGCTTTAAAGTTGGAATATTTTTCCCCCTAATTTTTCCTCCTTGTACACTACACTACACAGCTCAAACTATATTTGAGTAGCACTGCTAGAGAAGTACTTACCTAAAACTCTTCTTGAATTTCTCTTAACACTAAGCCTTCTGTACAGTACTCTAGTTACTCTTTAAGCCTGTTTATTAGGTGAGAAACGTGCCTTAGCAATCACTCTGTACTGTTGGCAGAAGAAAAACAAACTAGATGCTATTACACATTTTTTTTTTATTCAAATCTATTGTTTGACAAAGTGGCTTACTCTTTTTAGGGTATTGAAATGCGAAAGAAAAAAAAAGTGTTATAGGTAGTATTTTGTATTGACTGGTGTATATATTTAAACAGATTTACTGTCCTAACTTTATGGCTTCTAGATATTTTTTTAAGTATCGTGTGTTCAAAATGCAATGAAAGCTTATGAATTCTTGTGTATGTTTGGCAACATGCTTTGAAAAAAAATATACTGTTTCGATAAATCATGTGGATTCACAGTTGTACCAATCAGTGTTGGAGCTCAAGCAATGCAAAGTTAAGAGCAATTAATGGTACCCTATCTTTTGCACATATGGAAAATCCATATTAAAATGACTTCACTTGCAATCATGGGTGGGGGGGGAAGCACGACTTTTTATACAAGACGTGGATTCGTCCGTTTGTCTAAGGTGATACTTTTTCCTTTGGGTGAAGAACTTCTATATTTTAAAACGTTTTCTGTTAGAGAACTCTGAAACACAACTCTCAAATATATATAGTTATAAATGTTATATTTTCTTTAGGTGTAAGAGCATGCCTATGTTAGATACCGTAGTAAATCCTGTTACATTATTTTCTTTTATGTAATGAATTTTTCACTGCTTTTTTTGTTTTGTTTTACATGATATAAATATATACTTTGCGCTTAACAATGTGTTTGTTTTATTTTTTAAATATTTATATTTTTAACATTAAACACATCCTAATGCTAATAAAACCCTAATATGAGCAAATTTGCACCCATAAACTGACAGGTAATTTAAAATAATGACCGCGGAGGGGGGAGTGTTTTTGGTTTTAATTTATAATCATATTCGAAGACAACAATTGTTGTATATTCTCAAGAAATCCAAGTAATTTAAGAAATGTAAGTTTGGCTGGCAAGGTTAAACAAAGCTATCAAGGTGGTACTTTGCGCATTCAAAGTAAAATGGTTTTGCAAAGTACGTAAAGGTTTCCCTCGCACATATGTGCTACTCGTTCCCGACTCTAGGGGGCAGTGTCCATCTCCATTTCAAAGCCGAAGAACCAGCGCTGTCCTAAGACGTCTCCGTGGTCATGTGGCCGGCATGACTAAACACCAAAGGCGCACGAACGCTGTTACCTTCCCACCAAAGGTGGTCCCTATTTTTATACTTGCATTTTTTACGTGCTTTCGAACTGCTAGGTTGGCAGAAGCTGGGACAAGTAACGGGAGCACACCCCGTTAACGCGGCACTAGGGATTCGAACTGCTGAACTGCCGACCTTTCGATCGACAAGCTCAGCGTCTTAGCCACTGAGCCACTGCGTCCCTTGCAAAGTACGTTAGCATGAGCAAAATATTCTCAATGGAGGCATGAAATCTGCCGCATCTTTTAGAATGATTGTGTAGCTGCTTCAAAGGGCATCCTGTTTCCTACACCTAGATATGTGTACATTCACAGACGACATTTCCAATTTATTTATTTATTTATTTAATATTGCTATTAAATAAAAACTGCTGGGCTCAACTCCCATCCTGACTCAATTGTAGGGGAAGAGCCAGGTTTCAATGGACTTCCAGAAGGCCAGGTTGGGGAGACCCTCCATATTTAGGGGAGGTTGTCTCAAGGCAGGTGCCACTCCTAGGTCCTGACAGATGACATTGTTTAATAGAACCTGGAAGATGCCCAGATTATTTGATTTCTCCCTCAAATAACCTGACCCTGTGCTATGTAGGGCTTTTAAGGCTGATAAGAGGAACCTTGAATTGCATCCATATAGAACCAGGAGCTTATGTGTAGCTCCTGCAGTAATGATAGGACAAGCAAACTGCAAGGCATCCAAAATTTTGTATTCTGGATCAGTTGAAGCTTCTGGGTGGTCTTCATTGCGTCATGAAGCGCACACACATACTTTAGCTGTGAGTTGTACATTATATTTAAATCTTTATGGCTTGTACATTAATAGCTGTGGAAGAGTTACACGCAATTAAAAAAACTTGGATCGGGGAGAGGGCTTA